TAAGATTAAGACCTAATGGTTTTTTGCTCAGGGTTCAGCCTTGATGATAAAACTGGATCCAACTGCCTAGCACACCCAACACATTAGAAGAAAACTCATCCCAGGAAAGCATATTCAAATGAAACCTAAAAGGGGTTGGGCTTAGGCGGAGCAATATCAATTTCAAACCTAAAGGTGCTGCATTGTAATTTGCTTATTGGATAAACCCGGGTCTGGGTAGTAACCTTTTATGATAATTTTTAACAGTTTTCAATCCCACAGGGTAACAGTTATAGGGCAAGATTGTGAATGGCTCTAAAGCCAACAGATTAGTGTAAGACTAGGTATAAAAAGCATGTGCATCACGTGACCAGCAGGAAGGAGGGAACAGAATGGTCATTTCTGTTGTAACCCGGACTCCTGGTGTGAGTGAGGATCAGATCCTGATCAAGGGACCTTCCCCAGTAATCCCTCCAACAGCGTTGATCGGGGATGCCTGACTTCGCTGGAATCACTTGATGCATACCTGGCATCGAGCAACTATCGATAAGTTGCCAACCCATGTCTGTCTATCTGTTGTCTTGAACAGCCCAGTGGCCGATACCCTTGCAGTGCCCAGTTGGCCTGCAAAAGAATTGATCCATCTATCTGTTGTTATTATCTGTTGTTATTATTTACTATTAGCTCTTTAATACTGCATTATCTGCTTATTAGATTAATCTTTCTGTTAACTGTTATGTGTGTAAACTATAATAAATTTGCCTTTACTTCACTCCCAACTTTGTGTCCTCAATCCAAAACTGAACCAAACAGCCCAGTGGCTGATACCTTCACAGCGCCCAGTTGGCCTGTGATAGAATTGATACATTCACAGTGCCCAGCTGGCCTGTGACAGATGCCATGCCAGTGAACAAGTTTGCTGCGTCGCTCATCTCCCTGGAGAACATTTGTCCAAACTTCCTTGGACACTTTCTTTAAGAAAGCAGACAAGACTCCAGAAAAACCTGCAGCCAAGACTCCTGAGAAGACTAGCCAAGAACCCTTCAAAAAGTCCAATCAAGAGCCCTTCAAAAAGTCCAGCCAAGTCACCTCAAACAAGTCCTTCCAAATCAGTATGATTGCTATTTACAATATAAATACATTAATGTAGGTATATTACTCATCTATAATTGATCAAGTGCAAAATTCTGGGGTATTTTTAGTTAAAATAGGGTATCGGGCGTTGGTTCAGGAACAAATCCCATATTTATTACATTGTTTCTTATGACAAAATTGGTTCCAAGTTACGTTTCAACTTAAGACACAGTTTTCAGGAACCATTTGTGTCGTAAGTCCAAGGACTGCCTGTATTAGTTTGAAAAGTGGAGCTTCTGTAAACCTTTTGTAACAAGAATAGTCTGGTCATGTCTATGAAGTAAACTTATTGTGCCTTGAGCACACTGCATTGCCCCAAACTGTTGCACCTGCATTTATGACCTAGATACCTTGTTCCAGGAAGACCCAAACCATCAGACTGACCATGACTTCTTCATTCGATAATAGGCAAAATTTATTTGTCCCGGGAGCCGAAGTAATGCAGGGCACTTACCTGCAGCCCGGGACGGAGCACATGGGGAGCAGAGGGAGGAACCCATGTGGCTTGTTAGCCACCTCTTTGTACAGCTGCAGCCGGCCGGTGACATCAGCGTCAGACGCTGACTGGTGAAGTTAAAAACGGCGCCCACCGCTGCGGAGGGGGAGGATAGCTTGGAGACCAAGCTGCAGCTGACGCCGGCGGCAGCGTGGGCTCCGCAGGCAAGTGCCGAAGAATCCAATGAGTGGGAAGTAATGTGGGCTGAGGAGGGAAGCATCTTGATGAAAACCCCTCTAATCAGTAAAGGAACAACTGGCTGACTGAAGGAGGGAGAGCGGAAGTAACCCCGGGAACGCCGCCAGAGTCAGATGTGAGTGAGGGGACGGTGGGCTTGAAGGACTCCAAGCCGAGAGGTGAAGAGCTGGGGACAACCCTGAAGGAGGGTAATCAGGGCGGGGATCGCTGCCAGGACCTGGGATGCTGAGCGTGGGATTGAAGCTGGTCGGGAAGCGACAAGTATAGTGGAGTGCCATCCCTCCCCTTTAAGGGACCAGGGACGGGGAATAGGTGGTGGGTTGGTGGAGGTACAGTGATTGGTCCAGATTCCCTGAGCTAGGGGGGGAACACAGGCCATAGGCGTGGGCCCCTTGGTGGGGGTGCAGGGAAGCCTTGATAGAGGCCACAGCAGGAAGGTTCCCGACAGGACGGGATTAGGGCGAGTAGCATCGCTGGTGCAAGCAGAGGCTCCTGCCGATGGCTCCGAGATGCAGAGCGACAGTCGTGGTCTGTGGGGAACACCACAGATACCAGCAAGGCGGTACATCGAAGGTGGTGTGAGGCTGGGGCGTAGGGGTGGCAGAGCCCCGTGAGCAACCGTTGTGCCTAGCCCAGGCCACCGAGGGACCGGCTAACTAACCCCGCCTACTGAGGAACACCAAGACGTCGCAGGCGAGAATGGGGTTGGTGACACAGGAGGGAAGAACTACCCTGGTGACAAACCAGCCCGGAAGGTGCGGGGCAACCACGGAGAGATCAGAGTCATCCGAGAGCGGCTAGCGGAAGCCCAGCGGTCGCATTATTAATACACAGTGATAGCAAATAAGAATAACACAGGCAAGGCAAACAAAATAACCCTTCCGATGCTATATCTACCAGTCCTAAGGCTGTCACAGAGGGAAGATATGCCTGGCCAGTACATGACCTTCACCCTTTGATTGTCTCTTGAATGTCAGATGTCAGTGGCCTCGAGGTTGAGTGCTGAAGTCTATCCCTCTCCAGTGGGGTGGGTGACACAGGCTGGTGGAGTACCCTCTGTCCATGGTGACGTCGAGTTCCCCTTCGGGGACTCTTTGTTGCTTTGAAATCCCTCCTTTTGTATTCTTTCTCCCTCTAATGACTCTTCATTCTTAGGCATCGATTGGTCATCATACTGTTCTTGTTCTTGTTCTGTCCTGTCAGCATATTCCTTTGTTCCAACAAACCCATTACATGCACACATATTAATTTAGGCATTTACCAGTCTTCTAATTTGGTCTGTCCAATAAAACTGGAAATCCCAAGGGCTCTGCAGTTGGGCATTGTGACATAATGCCCTCTTATCTCATGTTACTGAACAGTGTGGTATATGTCTTCAATTTTCCAGTCTGTGAGTCTGCCTGCTCCAGATACAATGGGCCTTGAAGGAAACTTTGTCACAAACAGGCTTTTAGAAACCAATTAACTCTTGCCGTTGTATTGGACGATCATTCTAATGCATATCTCCTTCACCGATGAGCCAATTCCTAAAAGCAAACCTCTAAATACCATTTTCTAGCCATCACAAACAGGGTGCCTCAAACTCACTACATCCAATTTGAGCAGGCGAATCACACTGCTGACTGTTAGTGACAATTTGTCCATACTTATACTAATAAGCTGATCCATGCTGCCAAGCAGGCGAGGCTATAATGCTTCTAGATTCCAAGGCAGTCTGCCTACTGCAGTGCAGCATGCCTAATGGAGCTGCCCCCAGGCATCATAACTTTACTATATAGTCATGGCCCACCTTCATTATTCACACATCTCCCAAACAGCATGATCTTACATCTCAATATTCTTATTTGGACAGAAGAGGAACAAAGCAGACAGTCACGGCTGGGGTGCAATTACAGAGTGATAACAGTCTCTCCCTAGCTGAAGCTGTAACCAAAATTTCATTATTAGCCTCATTTTGTTCCCATTCTAAAGAAAATGTTATATTTGAAGTGTTGCTAGATCTGGAATGGAGCAGACAAAGCAGTCTCAATAACTGTGTGCTTCTCTACTCTACATTCTGCCAAATGATGCCATGAATGTGTTCAGACTAAGTGTTTACTTCTTAAAGCCGGCACACAAGTTCCATTATTTACAAAGTCTTCTAAGATTTGTAGAAAACCATCACAAAATCATAAACAGAAAGGGGGAAAGGGGGAGCTGGATTCTTTACTGAAATCCTCTAACTGGTTTCTAGTGTTCAGCACCAAAATATATTTGATTAACATCAGCCTTCAGAAAGTTACTAGTTTTCTAGTTGGATGCCTCACCAGAGGGTGCTGGTTTCCTGAATGAGGCATAGTTTGGGCTTTCTCTTAGAAAGGTGCAACCTTAAGTTCTGCATTTCTTTAGTTTTTAATGAATGAGCACTTGTTTTAAATAATAATGATTGTAAAAGGTATTGCCACAACAAATAAAAAGAGTTTGGACTCTTGGTTTTGCCCTAGTGAAGCAGTGTGTGGAAATGATGTCATATGAGGCTCTTCTTTAAGCAAGATTATACATTGGAACATCATTGACAGAATGAAAAAGGTCAGATTTTGGCTTTGATTACATACATGAACTGGGGACATAAAGTGAGTTGGGGTCACAAACTGATTGTGCAGCCTGTAGGTACAATGTAATTCTAGGCAGGAAACATTTAGCTGCCATTATAAACATGCACAGAATTCTGAGCAATACTCCAGCTTATCTGATGGAGACATTTTCTGACACCTGCCCAGAATCCCTGCAGAGCAAATGACAGGATAATGCCAGAACAATTTCAAAGGAAATCTGGCAATTCACTTTTTCCAGATGGCAAGTCCTTCATACTAGGAAATAGGCTAATTTATAAAATCCTTACCAGAACCGACTCATCAGGGGAACATCCTCCATTAACGTAATATTTGACATCCACAGCCAGGATCCTACCATTATTCATGAAGCCAACCTAAATTGGATTAACAGAACTTTCTTAGGCCTTTTCACTCATTCACATGTTCTTTACTTTTTCCATCACAAAGTTGAAAAATATAAATATGACAGGTCACACTTTCTGCAAATAACAACAAACCATACTATTAAGTCAGTACTGTGCTGAACTCGCTGAAACTAGGAAGATAATTCGCAGCTAAGCAACAGATTTTCTAGATCCCATATTGATCTATATTATATTGTACATATTACATGCCTCTTTAGTTGAGCAACATACACCCCACCTGGTGTGAAGCTGGAAAGCCTGTTGCATATCTGCACATTTAATGGGAGATGGCCAATGTGACATCTGTGCCACAATTTGCATGCGGTAGAGGCCACACTTTGCATGCAGTAGATGCCAACCGCATGCAAAGTGAAGTCCTGCTCTGAGAAGTAACTGTACAAATGGCACCTGACAGACCTAGAGCATAATCGACAGCTTTCACTTATTTTACTGACAAAAATAAATGTTGTCTACATTGTATTTCTGTTGTCATTCCTATTGGAGATTGAACTATTTATGGGTTCTATATTTTTGCTCCTAAATCATCAATAGAATTGGTAACCACATTCCAGCTTTAGGGACCAATTCAGCCCTCTGTTATGCCTACAGCACCCTGATGTTTTCAGTTAGTTTCTGCAGAAGTAATGGAGGGCACATTTTGTCCTGTATAATTGTTATTACTGATGACAACATGCACCTGATCAAGGAAACACCCAGTGTACTCTAAGGATGAATTTACAGGCCTGACAGCTACAAAACTCCTCCTTTACCGGGTAATGGAGCAAATCTGTTTTGGAGTCACCAGCAGCCTCTATTATTATCTTTATGTTGGATTTGTACTGCAATATAGCCAGAACCAAGAGCAGGAACGCATAGTGCTAAGCACTGGATAAATATGCAGGAAGAGTTTGATCCAAGGAATGTACAGTCTTAATTGACAAGACAAGTTAGGAATGGCAGGAAGAAAGAAAAGCCTATAGAAGATCAGGGTCACACAGCAAATCAGTGGCTGGGGACTGCAAATTAAATTTGAATTTAATACTGTTATTTGGATCAACAGAACAAATGGTCAAAATATTAACTAGTCATATTACGAAAATCCTATTCACATAAAATGCACAAATGGTGTTTTGCACAGCTTTCTTCTATACTTACTTTGTATTTGGCAACGAGAGGATGCCGGCCCCCAGTGATTAACATATCCTCACCCCGGCTCAGGATAAAACGGACTGCCCGACCAGTTCTATGTGGGGAAAAAGGTGGGGTTTTCAGACCCAGATGCTACTAAAAAGCAAATATTCACCATGGGCCCAGATGCAGCAAGGTGCTTAAGTACATGCTTTATTTCGAGCACATAAGTAATTTCATTGAGGTTAAGTAGGTACTTTTGTCCATCCCTAAGCAGCAAAGAGATTAAGCCCAGGTCTAAACTTAATTTAAGCTTAACAGGACAATTCATTCATTTAAGTTTATGCTTTGTTGGGTGCAGACCCATGATAGAGGCTTCTTTCCCATTCTTGAAAGACAAGGTAACTCAGTGCACCTTTCCTGGGTGAACAGGCTCAGTCTGACTTTAAGAGTCTGCTAGGTATCAGCTTAAATCTGCAGCCTCTTAAAATCGAAATAAGAGCATTTACACAAGAAAACTGCATCAAGTTAAATCACATGCTTTTGAAATGGACTTAGTTAAGTGAAAGTGAATGCTCTGTGTGGACAAAGCCTCAGTCTGACAGAAGGTAAATACATCTCTAAACTTGCTAAGAGCTTTGAGAATGTTTTTAGATGACATCAGGCTCAGGTCTAGTTGGTTCCCAGCACCTTAGCCCAGCCTGGAGCTTACACAAACAAAGTCTAATAGGACTCTGTAACAGACAGGATTTTATGGTACATTAGGTAGTATGAAGGCAATATCACCAGGAATGGTAATGCCATGTCAGCCATGGTGGGTAACTATTGCCTTCCTTTCCCCTTCATGCTCCAAAACATATACATCATACTTACTTGTTGGCTGCCACTGCAGCAACTGATGCCAACAGACCACTTTTGAGTAACTTCCCACCAAAAGCTCCGCCAACTCGTTTTACATGACATGTGATCCTATTTGCTGGAACACCTAAACTTGAGGCCACCATTTCCTGTAAAGTCAATTCCCTTTTTATTCCAGTTCAATTAAAGCAGGATTTGCAAAGAGAAGTTAATACCCTTCCTCCCCAGAAAAGGCTATATGAAATGCTTCCAGAATGATTTAAAAATACATTTTCCAATTGAATTTAGAAACAAACACATACCCCCTCCTTCTGTGAAAGTAAACCTGACTCAAACAAAAGAGAAACACCATTGCTTTTTATTAAGCATACTAAAAAGAAATGCAGGCTGTCAGCAAAGGACACTGGATTTCTAAATATTTTATTTTAGTCATCTAAGGCCTTGCTGGTTGGTCACAGCTAATAAGGTATGTTTGTCTCAAATATCTTTCTGGCTGCGCTCCTCATCTTTCTGACTGGGCTCCTCATTTGTTTATAACATTTACTATTCATGGCTGCCATTTATAAAAGAGAATCATATGGACAAAATGAAAAGGAGGTCAACAATGTGAATGAACACGCCCCAACAAAGGAAAAATTGACATAAAATTACAGCATTTTGTCTAAACTGCATTCAGGTCTACAAGCCATAGTTGAAGCTAAGCAGAGATCACATGCTATGTTCAGCTTTGTCAGGTTCTTCCTTACGTTTTGGCAAGACTGCTGTCACTGATCCAGCTAAAGCATTTACAGAGCCAAAGTTCATCACCAAGTGTCTGATCTGGAAAAGCAGTAAACACTCCCCCATATTGAAGTGAACGGGTGTGGAGAATACTCAACATTTCATAAGGCGTGGTCCATAAGTTAACCTTTTGTGGCCTGATTCTGTAACTATACTCACAGAGCAACAAGAGGCTTTTACCCTGGAGGCAGAAACCAGTGAACACCTAACTAACAACGGATGGGTTTCAGTGCTGAGCTAACATATTATGGCAGCACTGGAAAACAATGGTTTCTGGGTAGCTTCAAAAAAGACATTTAAACAACACATTAAGAGCTGTATTATCAAGCCTTTAAACTTTCTCAGAAAAGCTGTTACCTGGATCAGTGCTGGATGCTGCGAGGACACATACAGATCCATTTCTTTAGCTTCTCCTTTTGGAACAACAAGCACGCTTTGAGTCTCCATATAAAAATGTTCCTGTCCCCCAATGTGAAGTTCCTCTGTTCCAAAGATAAAGATTGAAATGTTACTGAGAGAAGGGAAATAGAGAATGAAGCAGTGCAGGAGAGGTATGCACATCATACAACTATAACAGGCAGTATCTTTGACTGACATATCTTCCCAGACTGATAAGATGCAACAACACAAGAGAAGCTACTTATGGTAGATACACCATGCAAAACTAAAGCATAGACCTAATTCTCTACCAGTGTAAATTGGACCAGATTTGTGGAAATCAAGAAAACTAAGCCAACTGGCATCTGTGGATTTCTGCCAACATAAGGTGTCAACATTAAACTAAGCATCTTGAGCCTGGAATATAGAAGGCTGGAGTGAACAATGGGATCTCTTGTCAGCTAAAGTTCAGCAGGGCAGAAGAGGGAATGGTTATTTTTCTGTGCAAAGAGCAGGTTTTCACAGTTGCACAGGGTCAGCAAAAAATGGGTGTGCATAATGCTGAGGAGGAAAGGCAAGGATTTGGTGGTTGAAAGGGGAAAGAAAAACAGGAGGGTAAAATCCAAATATCAGAAGCCTCCCAGCTCTCACCCAGCATACCCTGCAATTTACCTTCAAGTATTTGATCAACAGTTTTAAATGCTTCATCAACATTCCCATGTTCTAGCTTTCTTTGTGGCCCAAAGAATGAATTGTGCTGAATGGCATCCTAAAGCAGGGGGGAAAAACACACGTGCTTAGGTATTTAATTCATTAATTCGTCTACTCTCTAAATGGCTACCTACCAGTTGTTCAGTCAGACACTCCCTACGATATGGTAGAAGTCTGCTAGTGATGTGGTTATGGATCTGTCTCAGACTAGATGCAAATGGAAAGAGACTGCTGGGGTAGCCCTGAACGGAAGATATGGTTAAGATAGATATGGTTGGTATGCGCTTTTCTGTGCATTGTTTTTCTTCCTGGGACGTGTGAACCAATCTCTACCATATCAGGGCAGTGTGTACTTCTGTCATGCAACCTACCAACAGCAATGGCTGCTGTAGCTCGAGGATGAGTTTCCAGCTGACCAAAAACATAGTCTCTATTATACAGTACAGGATGGAAGAGCACTCTTTTGGAGTGGGATCTGAACTAGCAGGAGAGGATAAGTCAACACTTGCCCTAACATTGGCCAGGGGGTTGTATGGGCTATATTTTACTTATTTATTGAGGCAGGAGAAGACGAAAATGTGTGAAATCTTATCCTACCCTAATTACAGAGTTCCCAGATAGGGAATTATGAAGTGCAGATTTCCTGGAGTTGCTGTTTGATCAGGAGAGTCAGAAAAAACACTTAGTAATTTTAGAAAGGACAAGCAGGGGAATCCTTAGATGTGAAAGATTCCTATTTGCTAATATTGGAGGCTTTTCTTTCAGATCTAACAAACTAAAACTGAGTGAAAAGTACTGGCTCAGGCCTTTTCTTTTTACATCATGGACTTCACTGGGGTTACACTGGTGTAACATGGCAGCAGAATTTTTCTCTTGGCCTTGGATAAAAGAAACTCAGTCAGACATCACTTGCAATAAAGAAAAAATGTTAATCAGAGGTTGAAGAATAAACAAGTGCCTACTCTACTCAAGAAGATAAGAAAGTGAAAAGCAAGAACGAAGAGGCTGATTATTACCTCAACTGTCAGGATCACTGGCTCCAGGGCTTCATACTCTATCTTCACTTTTGCAGCTGCTTGTTTGGCATGAACATCAGAATCTGCAACCACAGCGCAAACTATCTGACCCACACAAATCACCTGCAAAGTACACAGAGCCTAGTGGGAATGCTGTAATCAAAAGATTCCCACATGTGCTTATTGAAATCTGTCCTTAAACAGACACCAATCACATTCCCCATTCATTTTTTTGCTTTGGTTTAGGTCTTACTGGATGTAGAGCTTCCCTGAAACCAATACTTTTCCCTGAAACCAACAATGGATATATTGATGTAATCTGGGAACTAAGGACTATAATTTCAAAGGCACCTAAGTGACTTAGGAGACCAATTCCCAGTGATCTTCAGTAAAACTTGTATTTCCAAGTGACTTAACTCTACCAAGATTCAGGATGGACTCGGGAGAAACTCCCCAAGCCTAGGGTCAGGGAGGACTGGGTTAGAGAACTTCTGGAGGGGCTGGATGTGTTCAAATCAGCAGCTCCAGATGCTCTCCACCCCAGGGTGTTGAGGGAATTGGCAGGGGTTATCGCAGGGGCCCTGGCATGGCTTGACAAGCACTTGTGGTGCTCTGGTCAGGTGCCAGACGACTGGAAGACGGACAATGTGGTCCCCATCTTTAAAAAAGAGAGAGGGAGGACCTGGGCAACTATAGGCCCGTTAGTCTTATTTCAATCCTGGGGAAGCTCTTTGAGAAGATTGTCAAGGAGCACATCTGTGATGGGCCAGCAGCGGGGATGATGCTCAAGGGCAACCGGCATGGTTTCATTAGGGGCAGGTCCTGTCAAATAAACCTGATTGCCTTCTACGATCAGGTCACAAAATTACTGGATGCAGGTATTGTGGTGGATGTAGTCTTTCTGGACTTCAGGAAGGCCTTTGACACTGTCTCCCACCCCATTCTCATTAAAAAGCTAGGTGACTGTGGCAGTCAGATGGATTGCAAATTGGCTGACGGGTCACACTCAAAGAGTGGTGGTGGATGGGTAATTTTTGACCTGGAGGAAAGTGGGCAGTGGGGTACCCCAGGGCTCGGTCCTTGGGCCCACACTGTTCAATTTCTTTATTAGCGACTTGGACAACAGGGTGAAGAGCAGCCTGTTTAAATTCGCAGACAACACCAAGATTTGTGGTGAGGTGGGCATGCTAGAAGGGAAGGACAGATTACAGCAGGACCTAGACAGGTTACAGGGGTGGGCAAATGAAAATAGGATGGGATTCAATACTGACAAGTGCAGGGTGCTGCACTTGGGCAGTAGGAACCAGCAGCATACCTATAGGCTGGGGAACTCTCTTCTCAAAAGCACGGTGGCAGAAAGAGATCTTGGAGTCATTATTCATTCCAAGATGAACATGGGCCAACAATGCGATAACATGGTCAGGAGGGCTAACCGTACCTTGTCATGTATCCACAGATGGATCACAAGCAGGGCCAAGGAGGTGATCCTCCCCCTCTATGCGACACTGGTCAGGCCGCAGCTGGAGTACTGCATCCAGTTCTGGGCGCCGCACTTCAGGAGGGATGTGGACAGCACTTAGAGGGTCCAGAGGAGGGCCACTCGCATGATCCAGGGACAGCAGGGCAGACCCTATGAGAAGAGGCTATGGGACCTTAACCTGTTCAGCCTTCGCAAGAGAAGGCTGAGGGGGGACCTGGTGGCTGTCTGTAAAACTTACTACGGGGACCAGCAGGTTTTGGGAGAGACCTTGTTCCCCTGAGCGCCTCCTGGAGTAACAAGGAATAATGGCCATAAGCTCCTAGAGAGTAGGTTTAGACTAGACATTAGAAGGCACTACTTCACAGTCAGGGTGGCTAGGATCTGGAACCAACTTCCAAGGGAAGTGGTGATGGCTCCTACCATGGGAGTCTTTAAGAGGAGGCTCAATGTTTACTTGGCTGGGTTCATTTGAGCCCAGTTTTCTCTCCTGCCCATGGCAGGGCTTCAGACTAGAAGATCTACAAGGACCCTACATCTATGAATCCATGAATCTATGAACTGTTTTTGCAAATTTTACCCCAGTTTTTACTAGTCTGATCTATCTGCTTTAAAAGGAATGGAAGAGAATAGTTAGGAAGATGCCCCTTTTTGAGTGACCAATTGATTCCTAACGTACACACACTATAACAATTCAAGATCCAACAGGTCATTGTTTAATTTAATTGTGAAAGTTGTTAAAAACTGAAGAGACCCACTCAAAAAAAGTGTGCCTAGTGACTAGGCATGTTATACCTTCTCTTTTGCAAATATAATCTCTGGATCACTGGCATAGTAGAATTCATTTGTAGCTGGGACATCTTGAGCTGTTATGACATCAAACGCTCCTGGTACCGCAAGGGCCTCTAATATGTTGATTGATCTGGGAGAAAGCAGTTAATCTCAGAATGTTGCAGAAGGAAGACAACAATACATCCATAGATATATCCAGTACCATGTGGCTCTGCACTCACACTGCTCTGGGCAGCTGGCTAATGGCCATTCTTTTCTTTCCCTTAGGATAGCAAGATTAGGTAGATGGAAAAGAAGGCTCTTGGTGACCTGTCTCCTTTCTTGGCTCTGGCCATCATGGCAGGACTTCGGTCTCCAATGCTGCTCTCCCCAGAGCCCTGGCTGCCACTGTGGGAACCCTCACCACTGCAGCCAAAGCCAGGACAAAACTCTGTGAGCTGGACAACTTGGGTGAACAGGCCAGATCTAACCTGCAGGCCAGATGTTTGATACTCCTGCCCTAGAGTGCTCCAAAAATCCCAGCTGTTGCTTTCATGGTAACACATCTCTCAGGTCTTTATACACTTACACAATCTTTGCATGTGCTCTGGAACTAGTGACCACAGCCAAAAAGAGCTCTTCATCCACCACACGCATGTCATCACAATAAACAGCTTCACCAGTGGCATGTTCAAAGCCAGCCTGGTGCATGATGGGTTGTCCTACTGGATCTTGGAGAACCTGCCCAGAGTCCACACCCTGCCAGTTAAAAAAAACAAAACAACACTCAGTCCAACAAAGGAAAGCCAGGGGCATTAGATTAGACAAAGAAATTTAGATACAAAATTCAGTGTTTATAAACACGTACCTCTGGCTTAACACTAGAAAATGATAAAGATGCATTATTCACTAAACTCAGGTCTTACAAATTTTCTTCCTGAGGGAGGGCTCGGGGAGGAGGGAGCGCTGGTGCTGCCCACAGGTTGGGAATCAAGGGGCAGAGCCCCAACCTGGCAGCCTAGGCCTGCACAGTGGGTAGCCCGGACACCAAACAAAGGTGCCAGGCACCCTTGGGTGCTCTGAAGTTGGACACTCCTGCTATAAACAATTAGTGTCACTGCCAGAGATACCATGTGATTACCAAAGCAGGGTGCAGCTGCTATGGTATAATCAGTAATAGAGGTGAACAGATACATCGGTCTAATATAAAGATCAGTACCAATATAACGAAAACTGGCTGTATTGGATACTGGCCTGATGGGGCAGATGATTTGGCCAATAAATGCCCATGCTGCGCACAGCCACAGTGCAGCACTCAGGCAGTGAGAAGCACAGCCGGCAGCATGGAGAGCTGCCTCCAGCTGGTAAGTCCAGTGTGGTGGAAGGAGAGGTGTGGAAGGAAGGGACGTGGGGAGGTGGCAGATCAACACCCCCCGTGGTGAGGGAGGGGGCAGGGGCAGGCGCTACTTGGGTGGGCAGGGGGTGGGACTGGAGCCGTGGCTTGTGGGGGAGGCAGCTCCCGCTGCTGCTTGCACCCCAGGAGGGCACAGGGGGGTATGTGCTCCCTGGATCTGTGCGGTGCAGGGCAGGCTGCAGCCGGGGCTGTGTGGGGCTCTTCTCGGTGGAGTCTGGGCTTGGAGCAGGTGCTAGTGGCGCTGGAAGGATGCTGCATCCACCCCAAATTTTGATGCTGCTCCACTCTCAGTGCTGCTGCCCTCAGCTGCCTGGTGCAGCCCCGGCTCTTTGCGGTGCGTGGATGGAGGTGGGACATTGACACTTCCAGGTCTGCTGCTGAGCATGCGGGGGGCCCCCCACGCTCTTGTTGGACGCTCCATCTGCCCCACCATCTCAGCATTCACAAGCCATGCCTGGAACCTCGAGGTATGTAGAAAAAACATTTATAATGGTGTCTATGGCTGAATTGCTGATTCTCCACATCAGCATCAACTCTTCAGATTCAGCCGAATTGAATCGGGACAGTGATGCAAATCACTGAATCAAATCACTGTCCCCTGAATTGGGCTGAATCCGAATCAAATATGGCCCACTTTGCACACCCCTAGTATGCAATGATTTGTGTTGTAAGTAAGTTTCATGCATTTGCACAGCATGGAGCACAATAAAGTCCTGACTTGGAAGAGGCCCTGAGAAGCTACTGTGAGGCAAATGAACAACAACAGGCACAGCATTTCAAAACAGTATTAAGGTTTTTGAATGATCAGTGACTGCAAACATTATACAAATTCAGTGAGACCAGAACCAGGACAAATAAAACATAAACCACCTCAGCACATAAAAAACCTGCACAGCAGGAGTTCAAAAACTGGTTTACTGAATCCGTGGCTGCCCATGTCTGCATACTGCAATTTGCCTCTAAAAATAGTGTTTTCTTGAAACAACGTGGTAGTGTCTCAGTCATTACAATATACCATAGTCAACTTAATGCATTTTCTGATTACCTTGGTTTCTGATATTTGATTTGGTTCCTTAGGTTTATACTGAGACACTGCACCTGTTAAAGTACATGTTTATGCCTTTTCAATCATAACTCAGTGTGCATTTGACTTCTGATGATAATAAACAGGGGTATGATTTTCTAACCACACTCTTTCACCAACACTTGCAAAGGGTCACTGTTTTTCTTTCATAAGAACTTTCAGAGTTTTAAAAAATATTAGACCTTTTTAAAGTAAAATGTATAGGGTGGATCCTTTGCCCAGCCAAATGATCTAAACCCTCATGTTTTGAGACATGTGTCCACCTGTGGCAGGGCACTGTTGGCACCTGCCACTTTAAGGGCTGAGCCAAGCAGCCAGCAGGTGCTTGATTACGGTGGCCATTTTAGATCTCTGGCTGCCTAGATAAACAGAGCAGTTTGCTGCTGGCAGGCCAGGCAGAAACACTGCTTGGCTGGAATGCTGAATGCAACATCCTGGAGGTAAGGACAGGAGCTTAAGGGGCTGGTTTGGAGGCTCCTAGTCCTGGGCATGACCTAAAACTGCTCCCTGCCAAAAGTGGGTGGCCTGGTGGGGCTCCCAGTGGCATGGGAGTCTCCAGGAAATGCCAGGCCAGTTACCACCCAGGTGAAAGGTGGGTCAGGGTGCTTTAATAACCCCAGCTCCCACAACCAGGTGGGTTACCCCATAGAAGGTCCAAGAAGGCAGACCCAGGTTAGAGAGTGGGCTAGAGGCTCAGAGACCTGACTTGAAACACCCTTGACTGGTCAATGCTGGGGCCAGGACCAGAAGGGTCAAAAGGGCCAGGGGCCCACCGTGAGGGACACCCAGAGCTGAGGACCTGGAGCCTCCGACTGGCCTTGGAGGTGAGGCTAGGGCCTGTGTGGCC